TTCTGGAGCCTCCCAGGCAATGCATGGCATGGTCAGCCACCACTTGGCCTCCTGAGCTACAAAGCAATGGCTGCTACTTCTGCTGGGCTTGGAGGTGCCTTGGCAAGGTCAAGCTATGAACCAAAGCCAGCTGCTACTAGTGCTGGGCCTAGTGTCACTTAGCAAGAAGAACACAATTTGGTTCATAACGGTGATGTTGAACATCTTTTCATGTGCTTGTTAGCTATTTGTATAGTCATACACTGCATAGTAATGTTTTGGTCAATGACAAAATGCATTTGTGGTAGTGATCCTATAAGATTATAATGGGTGCTGAAAGTCTTCTACCACCTAGTAACATCATAGCACAACCTCATGTGTTTGAGGTGATGCTGATGTAAATAAACCTACTGCGCTGAATCCTATAAAAATATAGCACATACAATTATGTATAGTACATGATACTTAATGACAACAAACAACTATGTTGTTGGTTTAGGTATTTACAATGTATACTTTTTATCATTATTTTAGAGTATCATTATTCTTTCTACTTATAAAAAAGTTTGCTGTTAAGCAGCATTCTATGATACGCTGACAGCAGCCTTATACATCTTGTGTTTACTGCATTTCTTGAATGTACAATATTATTTTCTCTTGTGCTTGATTTGATCTCTTGTTATTTTGTATAGTAACATGTTATACGGGCTTGTAGCCTAGAAGCAATAGGCTGTACCATAAGCCTAGGTATGCAGTAGTCTATACCATCTATGTTTGTGTAAGTGTACTCAATGATGTTTGCACAATAATAAAATCACTTAATAATGCCTTCCTCAGAGACCATATCAAGTTGTTAAGTGGTGCGTGAGTATATCTCCTTAGGAGAAATGTCTATTCAGTCCTTTGTCCATTTTTTCTACATAGGATTTTCTCATAGAGAAATTGAATTTTGTCCTTACATTTAAAAAGAAATCAACTGGAGTTGTGTATTTAACCATAAAGCCAATAAACATTACATAAAGCACGTAACCTTCAAAGCCTTAGTAGATGTTCTTTTGAGTGTTTTATTTTAAATACTATGATTTTCTTAAGAAATACAAAATTTCAGATTATTTTTACTACAACTCTTCTGGTTCAAATTTAATTATCATTTGGAAAGCCAATGCTGTATAGTAAGTTGCTGCTTACAATCAGTAAGACTTACAATGCTTTTCAACACTTTTAAACCTTCATTTATGATTGAAAACAAGTTGTTCATTTGTTTTCTTTTAAAAATATTTTAAAATTTAATTCAACTATAAAAAGTACAGTTTACCCATTTCTCACACTCCCCATTTTTTGCAACCACCAATCTCTTTGATCTGTGAGCTTGGATTTTTTTAATCCTCACCTGAGGACATGCTTATTGATTTTAAAGAGAGGGAGAGGGAGAGAAACATCAATGTGAGGGAGAAACATCAATCATGCCTCTCCTACATGCCCCGCCTGGGGACAAACCCACAACCTAGGTATGTGCCCTGAATGGGATTAAAACCTGCAACCTTTCTGTTTACATGATGATGCTCCAGCCAACTGAGCCACACCAGCCAGGGCTGAGCTTAGATATTTTTGTTGTTGGTGTTGTTGTTAAAGGTTTTATTTATTTATTTTTAGAGAGAGGGGAAAGAAGAGAGAGAGAGAAGGTGACGAACATTGATGTGAGAGAGGAACATTGATCGGTTGCTTTTCATACACACGCCGACCAGGGACCAAACCCACAACCCAGGCATGTGCCCTGATGGGGGACTGAAGTGGTGACCTTTTGCTTTGTGGTACGATGCCTAACCAACTGAACTGAGTCACATTGGTCAGGGCATGATTTCATTCTTTTTATGACTGAATAATATTCCATGGTATATGTATACCACAAATCTTTTATCCATTCATCCATCAATGAACACTTAACTGTTTCCATACCTTGGCTGTTGTACATAATGCTGCAATAAACATGGGGGTGAATATATCTTTTTGAATTAGTGTTTTCATTTTATTTTAATAATTACCCAGAAGTGAAATTGCTAGATCATATGTAGTTCAATTTTTAATTTTTTGAGGAACCTCCGTACTGTTTTGCATAGTGGCTGTCCCAATTTACAGTCTCATCATCAGTGCACAACAGTTTCCTTTTTTCCACATCCTTGACAACACTTGTTATTTCCTATCTGTTGGTAATAGATGTTCAAACAGTATGAAATAATATTTCATTGTGGTCTTGATTTGCATTTCCCTGACAATTAATGATGTTCAGCATCTTTTCATGTACCTATGTGTCTCTTTTTAGGAAAAATGTCTATTCACACCTTCTGCCCATTTTAATTAGATTTATTGTTATTGAGTTGTATGAATTCTCCATATATTTTGGATATTTGCCCCTTATCAATTATATGACTGGTAATTATATTTTCCCATTCAGTAGTTTGCCTTTTCATTTTGTTAATGGTTTCCTCTGCTGTGCAGAAGTTTTTTAGTTTCATGTAATTCCACTTATTTATTCTTGTTTTTATTGTCTTTGTTTTTGGTGTCAGATTGAAAAAAAATCGTCATCAAGAACTATGTCAAGGAGCTTACCAACTATGTTTTCCTTTTTTTTATTTTATTTATTCATTTATTTATAAAGATTTTATTTATTTATTTATTTTTAGAGAGAGGGTAAAGAAGGGAGAAAAAGAGAGAGAGAAACATCAATGTGTTGTTGCTTCTCACACAACCCCTACTAGGGACCTGGCCCAAAACCTAGGCATGTGCCCTGACTTGGAATCAAACCTGTGACCCTTTGGATCACAGGTTGGCACTCAGTCCACTGAGACACACCAGACAGGGCCTGACTATGTTGTCTTATAGGAGTTTTATGGTTCCAGGTTTAATATTCTTTAATCCATTTTGAGATCATTTTTGTGACTGGTGTAGGATAGTGGCCCAGTGTCATTCTTTTGCATGTGGCTGTCCAATTTTCCCAACACTATTTATTAAAGAAACTATCCTTTCCCCACTGTATATTCTTGGCTCCTTTGTTGTAAATTAATTGATCATATATGTATGGGTTTATTTCTGGGCTTTATATTCTGTTTCATTGATCTATGTTTCTGTTTTTATGCCAATGCCATACTGCTTTAATTACCATAGCTTTGTAATGTAGTTTGAAATCAGGGAGCATGATCCCTCCAGCTTTATTTTTCTTTCTCAGAATTGCTTTGGCACTTTGTCCATTTTTAATTTGAGTTCTTTGTTTTTTTGTTGTTGAGTTATGAGTTATTCATATATTCTAGATACAAAGCCTGTACCAGATAAATGCTTTGCAGATATGTTCTCCCATTCTGTGAGCTGTCTTTTCACTTCTTGATGATGTACTTTACAACACAAATTTTTTTAATTTTGATAAAGTGCCATTTATTTTTTCTTTTGTTGCTTGTTCTGGTGTCATATCTAAGAAGCCATTGCCTAATTCCGAGTCATGGAGATTTACTTCTGTATTTTGTCTATAAGTTTTACAGTTTTAGCTCTCACACTTAGGTTTATGATTCCTTTACAGTTAATTTTTATATAAAATTTCTCTTTTAATTCCATCCTAAAACATAGTCATTTTAGAATGTTCTTTGCTAGATTAGAGATAAAAAATTAGTAAGGAGTTTTTTAGGGTTGTTTTGGGGGGCCTTTTAAAAAATCACTGACTCTTTGCAGACATGGGAAATCACATCTATTTACATAATCAAAAATATACCTCATTTACAGAAGCTCATTTAGTCTGTTTTGTAAGAAGAGAAATCCAAACATTAGGTAACTTAGGAATGGCTGCCAATAGCAGCTGAGATAACACTTCATTCAAAGAGTATGAATAATATATTGATTACAAATAAAACCTTGGTCTCATCCTTTAGCCCAGAATTGGCTATGGCTGCATATCATTTTTTAGTTTGATTAATGGCAGAGTAACTAATTAGAGTGGGAAAGAGATTAGCAAATCATTCAAGATGTCAAGTGCAGTCATTGTGTCATAGATAATATAGTAAATCTTATAGTGACAAGTGTGTGTAATAAACAGGAGCTGAAAATACTCAGATCTTGAAAAGTCAAGATAATCCAGAATTATAGCCTAAAATTCAATAGAATCTTCACACAGGTTTTTAAAATCAGTGTAATTTATTTATTTATTTATTGGTGACTATTATTTTTTATTATATTCTCACACTGCTATTTAACATTTTTCTCTAAAGAGACATTGTTTTTTAAATATTATTTTTTTATTACAGTTGGCATTCAGTAAGATTCTGTATTAGTTTCAGGGTTATAGTATAGTGGCTAGACAATTATGTACTTTACAAAGGGGTCCCCTCAATATTTCCAATACCCACCACACATAATTATTTCAATATTATCAGCTATATTCTCTATGCTGTACTTTACATCCCCGTGACTATTTTTTTGTTTTTTTTTATTTTAATTGCTGTTCAAGTACAGTTTTCTGTCTTTTACTCCCATCCCAGCCCACCCCCCCAATGCTCCCCACCTCCTTCCCATTTCCACTCCCCCTAGTTTTTGCCCATGTGTCCTTTATACTTATTTCTGTAAACCCTTCCCCTTTTCCCCTGAAATTTCCTCACCTCTCCCCTCTGGTCACTGTCAGCCTATTCTCTATTTCAGTGTCTTTGGTTATATTTTTCTTGCTTGTTTGTTTTGTTGATTAGGTTCCACTTATAAGTGAGATCAAGTGGTATTTATCTTTCACCGCCTGGCTTATTTCACTTAGCATAATGCTTTCCAGTTCCATCCAAGCTGTTGCAAAGGGTAGGAGCTCTTTCTTTCTTTCTGCTGCATAGAATTCCATTGTGTAAATATACCATAGTTTTTTGACCCATTCATTTACTGATGGCACCTACTTGTTTATTTAGATTCGATTTTATTCCTGTGAGTTGACATATTATTGAATTGGTCTTTGATTTACTGACATGATAATATTTGGTATGTATTTTCTTTTTGTTTTGCAGGATGTACAGAACCAAAAATTAAAGACAAATGTATGGTACCGTGAGGTAAATGATTCTTTCCTTCCATGCATGCTGCACTCCTGATCTTGATGTGTTGAACATTATTATTATTCTAGGGAATAGATATTATTATCTTAATGTTTACAGTTCCTTAGGTCTGCAGCAAACCCAATTTATTTGAATCCATGTAAGTGTATGGCTATGGTTTATGGTTGGGGTTACTCTCCTTAAGAGTTGGATGAGAAGTCCTCTATCCTAGTGGATAGTACCAACAGACTGATCAGTTGGATAATTTATCCAAATCTCTCCTCAATTCTTTGGTTAGGTTGATATTGCCTCTTTTTGATAAGCTGACTTTTTGGCTACTCCTAACAGGTTTGGGATGATGAGTTTTTATCATGGAACTCCAGTATGTTTGATGATATTAGAGAGATCTCCCTACCTCTAAGTGCCATCTGGGCCCCTGATATCATCATCAATGAATTGTAAGTGTTTTGGGTATATTTCTTTGGGATTTAGACTGCTTAGAATATTCAGGCCAGTTTTTGCTTACTTTCATTCATTGTTGCTATTTTTTGTTTCTCAACTTGAAGAGGAACATATTGTTGGGATATTCAGGCTAAAAGTACCATGAGTTAATTATTAATGCTTGAGGTGACTTATGGATTGTTTGTCTCATAATAGTGGTGTTAATAGTAGAAATAATAGTAACTCTATGTAATAGTAGAGTTAATTTATGAGGTTGTCATAACTGAACCCATCTTTGCAAGGGTGAATTATCTTGGAAAAGTGATTTTGTCTACACTTCTGGGCTAGTCCTGGGTGTCATGGTCATTACCATCTTGTAATCCATTGTGTGTATTGAAACAACTAAAGCTCTCCCTGTAACAACAAGGTCTCTTTTGTTTCTTATAGTGTGGACATTGAAAGATTACCTGACCTCCCATATGTTTATGTGAACTCATCTGGGACCATTAAGAACTCTAAGTCCATCCAAGTGGTCTCTGCATGCAGTTTAGAGACATATGCTTTTCCATTTGATATCCAGAATTGCAGCCTAACCTTCAATAGCATTCTGCACACAGGTAAACTATGAGAGGTACTGTCTTCTAGGGGGAACATAGGTGTACTGGGTTGTTAGCACACATACATGTAATTACATTATACCATTCCTCATGTCTATTTTATTCTTGTATATAATTGACTTTTTCAAAACCTGAATACCTTCTTGCAGTTATTTGGCTATATTCTCTATATCCTCCTGTAATTTAGACTAAGGGCAGTTTGTGCCCAGATGTATAGCCCAATTGCTGCTGTTGCTTTGTTGCTTTGGGAATACAATTTTAGGCCTCCACTGCCATTGAGAATGTTATAGAAGTCACAGGAGCAGCTCCATTTATGAATTCATGCAGTCTATGAATAGTGGGACCAAATGCTAGATTCATAGTTTTTTTCATGGCTAGAAAGGTTTACCCATAATTCTTTGAATTACCGGTAAATGTGGTTTACCCACACTTCTACCCATAATTCAAAATGGTTATGTTGAACCCCCCTGTCATCTCAATAAGACTGTACATGCAGAGGCAGGAATAAAATGAAGGATTTGGTGTTGGTGCCTCTCTCTCTAAGGAGAAGTCAATTGTTTCTATTGTTTTTAGTGGAAGATGTAGACCTGGCCTTCCTGAGGAGCAGAGAAGACATTAAGCATGACAAAAAAGCATTTTTGAATGACAGTGAATGGGAACTTCTTTCTGTGTCCTCAACATACAACATCCTGCAGAGCAGCGCTGGAGATTTTGCACAGATTCAGTTTCACGTAGGTCCTTCTGCTTCCTCTCCCTGTTGCCCACTTCTCTGCAATCTTTGGCCTTCTGTACTGGGCTGAGGAATCTCTGCTCTGTTGCATATTCTCATTCATTATCATTCAAGAACAGCTGATTCAGATGACTCTGGACATCCATTTGCCCTCTGGCATTTCAGAGGCCAGAGGTTCAGACACAGATCCCAGAATCCTGCTGTAGATACTCCACATGTGAATAGAAAGAGAATGGTTTTCAGACACTAGAGACATGAACGACCCACCAGAACAGGAACCCTCAGCCTTTTAGCATATACTAACACCCTTGCTTCCAATTGCTATGGAGAGAAAAACATACAACAACAATAAAAAATTGGGAGAGTGGTTCTTTAACATTATTGTCCTGTTTTTAATTGAGTAAATTAATAATTAATTCCAGATGTAGATGCATAAAATTGCCATATTATTAACTGGAATACCTTGAGGGATTAGTTAACAAATCACCTGCAGGGTCCTCAGAGACCATTGGTTGTTTTCAGATCAGAGAGAACAACTGCCTTAAAAACATGTGATGAAAACCCAAAATGCTTAGATGTGCCACCCAGAATGCTCCTGGGGTGGGGTGGGGGCGGGGACAGGAGGTATAGGGGAGTGGAGCCTATTGCTTTGCACTTCATAGACAGCCATTGTCCCTTCCCTGGCCCTCCTGGCAAACCATCCTGACAGGTGGGCTACATGCAGCCAATAGACTCACATCACTAGTATTCAGCTCTACTTTTCTGCACAGAGTCAGCTAGTGGTAGTAGTTTCAGGGGGTGGTAGGAGGGGGCATCCTTTAGGCCAGGTAATGGATTCGATTGAAAAATAGAGACAACAGACAGATCAGGATTGTATACGAGATGAATTATCCTGGAAATAAACCTTTTGTATAACAAGGAAAATTCAGAGTAGACTAAGGTGCTACAGTTACAATGGATAATTACGTGCTAAGGGATAGCGGTGATGAAATAAGCTATTATTGAGGATATGGATGCCCCTCCAGTGGTTAAAAGGTATTGTATGCAGTTTTCAAGGAAATCTCATGTTAAATTGGAGCCTCTTAGAAAGCACTGTGGTTTGAACCTGGCTAATGTATAACCCTGGGTACTAGCTAATCACAACTCATACCTTCCCAGTGGTTCAGTTTGGGTTCTTGCCTATTCTATTTGGTTTTTAGCAAAGCTTGTATTGTGACTTGTTTGTCCACTTTTTTTAGTGAGGGAAAAGGAGGGGAAAAAACAAAGCTTTTTTAATTTCAATGAGTTTCTTGGCTGAGAGTAAACACCTCATTAATTTTAAAGATATCGGCCCACAAACATTATTAATGCAGTCCAAATAATGGAGAGCATTAAAGGGAAATGTGAGGGAGTAGCACGTGCAAGGTGGAACACAGTCACCTACCAAGCACTCTGGAGAATGCTGCACACTCCATTACCTACACTGCGCGGACAGAGATGAGCAAAAGCAAGAGATGGGACAAGTAAACACACACACTTTCTACACAGGTCAGCCATTATTTGTAGGTACATGTCACCCTTCACCCTAAATATTAATTTGTCTTCTCAACAGTGGTAAAGATTTTCTATGTACTATAATGAACAAAGGTGTAAAAGATTGCTTAAGGAAGGAGAGGCCCCCCTGGATGTCAGCAGCCATGGTCCTGATACCCTGTTCTCTATACTGCCATGCTGCTTCTCCATTCACAGTGTTTACATTGAAGTGTACTGTAATGGAGGTGGGCAGACTATGACTGCACGTTCTCAGAGCTCTTCCCTGGGTCCCTTTGCCCTGGGGGCTAAGGTGGGTTATCTAGCAGAGCTGGCTTCTACACTGGCCCTCCGGAAGACAGGAGGGAATGAGTAGAGTCATGGATCATTTTTGGTAAGGCAGGGAGCCAGACTCATGAGCTTAAAGGAGATTTGGTGACTATCCCAATTTTTTGTCTCCCTAGACCTCCCCCAGCCTCCCTACCTCCCCATTCCTGCTATGTGCTCTGTGGCTGAACTCATGTTCTCCTCCTCTGTACCAGACATCCTGCTTTGAATTAAGCAACTGAGGCACCCATGTCCTTCAGCAGCCCTTGGCCAATGATGTGAAATTCAGAGCCCAGTTCCAATCAAACATTGGGTCTCCTAGGGTCCTGACAGGAAAGTCATCTCCCTCTTAATCCAATCACCTGTTGTGCCCCAGTCCAGGCTGCCCAGCAGGGGGTTGGGGACAGGTGGGGCAGGCAGGAGGTACAATGATCTATTCTAAATACATCATCACCCTGGGTCTGATGTTCACTGTTGCCATTGAAATGAAATCCAATGTTCCAGATGCCTTGCTAGTTCCAGCCGATGTACAATCATACCTGCCAGCAACAGGACAAGTCTTGTTTCTTAGAGCACACTGCTGAAACTTTGGAGTTGGGCTGCATCCCATGAGGGCCCCAGAGCACAGGCACTTCCTCATGCGAGGATGTCTGTGTGCAGCCGGGCACCCGATCCAGCAGCCACAAGAGGGGAGGTTTCCTCCAACACACTATTGGAGGAAACATACTACTAGTTCTCAGAAACAGCAGGGTGAGCATTCAGTTTCTGTATGGCAATATATATATTTTTAATAATGAGGGTAGAAGTGGGAGGAGTTAGGAATAAAATTTAGGAACTCATCTTGGATAGAAAGAGTAAACAGCTATGGGAACTAAAATGAGTCCAACCACAGATCTTCACACTGAGTAAGGTGTCTGTTCAGGCAGGAGTTAGGGGTCCACAGGGCACTTTTAGGAAAATACAGAGGGGCATTTGGGAAAGGAAGGTGCCTCATTTATCTTCTTTTTCTGACTTAATTTTTTTTTAAGTTTAGTGTAGAGTTGTCTTGTTGAGATATCTATTGAATGCAGTTCATAAACTTGATAGATCCTTCTGAACACCAGCAGTTCAGGAGAGGGAGGGAGAGGGAGGGAGGGAGGGGGAGAGAGAGAGAGAGAGAATGGGAATGACTTCAGAGCCCTGGAAATCATTCCAGGGTCACTCAAGTAATCCTAGAATCGTGGACTCTGCTAATTCAGTCAAGCCATGATCCAGATTTAAGAACTCTTACTCTGGTGGAAGGATCTTACTTAAATGCCAGCAACTTTCCCATTCTTTCTGAATTAGTAATGTTGGGAGGGGCTTGGGAGAAGAGGAAAATGGGCTTCTGTATGAAGCGTGAGCCTGGGCGTCAAAATTCCAACTATGTCATAAAGACGGTCATGCAAAATTGAGTACTGGTGGGGTCTACCATCAAGGAGGCAATTAGAGGCTAACCTTGGGGCCTATTCCATCTCCAAGGAGCTCTCCACACACACATTCTGAATTAGATTGATCTCTTTCATTAACAACAATAGGCTCCAAATACCTTTGTGTACTTATTATTACCTGGCTTTAATGGATAATGAAATTGTGGCATAATATTGCTAACACCTGAAGGGTGTCTAATGGAGAACACAGACTGAAACTAAAGTGCTTTTTCTTCCCTTTCTGTGAAATTTAAAGGCACCAGCTCCTTTAGTCCATTAGAAATGCTGGGCTTTAGATAGGGGCAGTCTGCAGAGAGCAAGCAGTGTGTCACTGAGCTGATAACATACCTTCCTCACAGAATAAGCAGAGGTTGTTGCCCCTGGTGTAACCTGCAGAGAGGTAGCCCTCAGAGGGGGCTAGCTTCAGTCAGAGAACCCCCATTTGGGCTAACTGCAAGATCCCACCCCATTGAATTCAAAATAGCATTATTAATAGAGTACAATGCAACTCAACAAATACCTTTTGAGCTCTTATTTGTGCCAGGCTCAATGATAAGACCTGAGGACACAAACACAAACAAAAGAAGGCTCCTGATACCTATCACAGACCCCAAAATCTTCCCAAGGAGATATAATAACAACAACCACAAAATTGAGCATTTACTCTATGTGAGGAACAATTTTAAGAGTTTATACATGTGGTCCTCACATCTCTATGAGATGGGTGCTCTAAGTATCTGCATTTTAATGAATGGATTAATTGGGGTTCCGAGAAGTTAAGTAATTTACCCAAGGTTATAGGGTTACTAGTAGAGCCACGACTAAGACCCAGGCAATCTAACTCGAGAAACTCTGTGCCTAATTCTATATGATGATGACACAACTAAACATAATGCAATATATTCCAGTCCATTCTGTGTCATCTGTTCACCGTGTGTTACTGGGCAAGCCACCTGTATTAGTTTCCTAGAGCTGCCGTAACAAAGTACTACAAGCTGTGTGACTTTAAACAACAGAAATGAATTCTCTCACAGTTCTGGAGGCTAGAAGCCTGAAGTCAAGGTGTTGGTAGGGTTGCTTCCTTCTGAGCACTCCAAGGGAGAATCTGTTCCATGCCTCTTGCCCAGCTTTTGGTGGTTTCCAGCAGTCTTTGGGTCATAGACACATCACTCCAACCTCTGCCTTCATCTTAACATGGCCTTCTCCTTTGTGTGTCTCTTCTTCTTAAAAGGACACTCTAGTCATATTGGATGAAGGATACACCTTCTCCAGTGAGACCTCATCTTAACGAATCACCATTTCCAAATAAGGTCAAATTATGAACTTCCAGGAAGGACATGAATTCCTGGGCTCATTATTCAACCTACTACTCTCTGGCTCCTGAAAATTCATGCCTGTCCCACATGCAAAATATGTTCACTCTGTTCCAATATCCCCAAATATCATAACCCGTCCCTGCTCCAACTCTAAGATCAAAGTATCATCTAAATATAAACTGAAAAGTACCCAAATCTCACCATCTAAATCAGGCATAGAATCTGGGTATGGTCTATTTTGGAGTAAACTTCCTCTTCATTTGTAGGTTTGTGAAGCATCTAACCACCAGATTCTGGACCTGATCCCACAAGACAAGAGAGATTTCTGTTTTATATTGCAGCAGAAGCTACCATAATTGCTTACTTCTGTTCCTATTGTTTTCCCTCTTCTTTTAGCTGCTTTTGATCCAGTGAGGAATATCCTTCTGACAGGACCAGCTACATAATTTGTGGAGCCTAGTGGAAAGTAAAAATTCAGGGCCTCTTGTAAAAATTTATTAAAAATTTCAAAATGGCACCAGCAGAACATTAAACCAAGCACAGGGCCCTTGTAAATGTGGGGCTTTGTGCAACTGAGCAGGGTCCATGTCATGGAGCCAGCCTGCCTCCCAAGCTCCTAGCTCTTGCCACAACTCTCTCCTAGCAACTGCAATTTCTTGGACATCCAGAGCCCTGAGAAGTCCCATTGCCCATCCTTGGTTCTGGCTCAGATTTATATCCATTCTTTGCATCAGCCTCTGAGGGGGAGAGGAGTCATCTCAGCACGTGCTATTTACATAGGAACTTTATTTAAAGAGTACAACAGCTAATCTCAATTGTACCCAAGATCTTTGGCAAGGCAAAAGTAAATTGCTATTTTAGAGGGAAAAATCAGGCCTGGAGAGGTTAAATACCTCATTTGGGATCACTGAAACTAGCACATATAGTCACTTAGAGCCAAGGGCTCTAGAACCCTGTGCCCTTGACTACATCTGGACTCTTTCTGCTTAACCAATGTGCCTACCCGTACTTTTCTTTAGGGTGGTATTCTTATACTTTTCATCCCCCTCATGTAATAACCACAACAAAGTCTCTAGGAAGTCTCTTGCTTCTATTCTGCAGAGACAACAGGCTTGGTTCCCCACTCCCCAAACCCCACCAACCACCATGCCACATGTCCAGATCACCAATAGGTTAGCCTGGGTCCACAATCCAGGACCCCTGTGGGCTCTGACCACTTGGCTCCCTGATCTTGCCCCCGCCTAACCACAGCCAGCTCAGTCACAGCATTGTGAAGGGACCTAGAGAGGTGCAGGTTGATGACAGTTCTTTTTGTCAGTTGTTTTCCCTGTTGATTGCACTTTGGTAGAAATGTGTTTTAACCAAATTGTTGCAAAGCAGTGAGTGTTGCTCTGGTTTAGATATCTGCAGCCAATTATGTTTAATGTGAAAGACAACAGCCAGACTACAATCTGCCAATCTGTCAAATGTGCCTGGCCTTTCAAGCTCCACTGAGACAGAATATGCTCTCAGGCCCAATGGCTTGAATTGGGGAGTCCCTGCTCTCATCAGCAGGGTGATATCTGATCTTACCCAGTCAAGTTCTTTCCCTGCCCCCATCTGCACCATTCCTGGCCTCCATCTTGGCTGATTTCTCTGTAATTCTCATCCATAGCAGGAGACAGAGTTGAGGGAGAAGAACCCTGAACTGAACTCAGAGGTCTGGTCAGATCAAGAGCTGTAGCTCTGCTATATGAAAAAGAACACTGGGCTTGGAATCAGAAGATGTGGAGGCACATCCCAACTCTGCCGCTTACCTTACTAAAAGGAGCTGAGTTTTATTTGTTAAAATGTATAAAATGGGTATATTATATATTACCTGCCAACAAGCTTACAAGAATTAATTAAATCACATCACATGCATAAAAGTATCAAGTATACTCTCTGACATATAGAAAACCTAAAATTGCTTTATGAATCAGAGAAATGGAAAATTTCAGACATTATTTTTTTCCAAATCCATAAGTAAAGGCCTAGACCTTTGTTCAGTAAACATTTATTGAATACCCATTATAAAATAGGTATTATTTTTGGTTCTGTGAGAGATTTTTAAAAATTGCTGTTTTCACCCTCAAAGGGTTTACCATCTGGTGAGAAAATTTCGCAGCCATGTCATTCCCTGGTTTCTCTCCAGGAAAAATGAAAATAGTTTGTGTTTATTAAAGACACTTCTGGTCACCATTCCAGAGAAACTAAAAAATGGCAACAAAAATCATATTTCTTTTTTAATTAAATATTTTATTATTATATTACAATTGTCCCAATTTTCCCCCCATTGCTCTCCTCTATCCTACCCACACACCCTACTTCCACAGACAATCCCCACACCATTGTCCATGTCCATGGGTCATTCATGGGTTCCTTGACTGGTCCCTTCTCCTTCTTCCCACTCTTATCCCCCACTCCCCTCCCCTCTGGTCACTGTCAGTTTGTTCCTTATTTCCATGCCTCTGGTTCTATTTTGCTCATTTGTTTGTTTATGAGGCTCAAATTCCCAGCTACAAAACCCAGTCAGCAGCTCAGTACACCAGCAATGCTGCAGGCCATGATGGGTATCTTCAGTTGGTCCCCACACAGATCCACGTTCCCCTTCTCCTTGTGCTCTGTGCTCTAGAAGACTGAACTATGGCCTGCAGAGTTGGAATCCCTGGTCACGATTGGCTAATAGAGACCAGTGGCAGAAGGTTGGAGTGAGTGAGGTGCTTGCTTATCTCTCCATTTTCCTTTCTGTGGAGTCACCACCAGGCTGGCTTTGACCCTAAGAGGAAGCCACAACTGTCCACAGTCCTCCTCACAGCTTTCTCCTCAGGTCCCTTCAGGGTAGGAATAGCTCACTTAGTTACCCCAAATCCCTGGGGCACTGCCCTTTTTCTTGTGGTTTTCCTATAACCTGCCCACACCTTCTCAACAGTCTCTTTATTAAGTCCTCCTCAGATTTTCTAATTTAATTACTCTTTGTTCCTGCCCAGGCTCCAACAAATACACTCACAGGTGCTAAGAAGCTCTCATTCCAAGTAAGAAGATAGACTAAACCCAAGACAATGCAATATGTTGAATAACGAGGGGTTTAAGAAGAAAGATTTTTATGTAAGACCTGGTTTTAAAACAGTTTTGTACTCACCAGCTATGTGAGTTTAGACAAGCAATTACATCTCTATGAACCTCAGTTTCCTTGTTTATAAAATGGAATTAGTAATATTCAGCCCTTAGAGTTGTTGTGAGGAGGATTAACTGAGACAAAACACATGAAACACTTAGTCTTGTGCCTAGCAAACAGAAAGTGGTAAATAAATGGTAGCTTATTATTATTATTATCAATATTAATATTAATTGTATGTAAAACTTAAAAGCTTGTTTTCTATTTTCTAAACCACAAAATAGTCTCCTATTTCTAAACTACATAAACTTTTCACATCATGCAAAATGTTGGGACTTCAGGACACATTCTTGGCTATGGGTTTGGCCAAATACTTGTCCATTGGCTTAGACCCTCTTTTCAACAGATTTCTTGTCCCTGATCAGGTGGTGATTCGCAGGCGCCCACTGATCTATGTCGTGAGCCTTCTGATTCCCAGCATCTTCCTCATGCTTGTGGACCTGGGGAGTTTCTACATACCACCCACCTGCCATGCCAGGATTGTGTTCAAGACCAGCGTGCTGGTGGGATACACCGTCTTTAGAGTCAACATGTCTGACGATATTCCACAGAGTGCAGTGAGCACCCCTCTGATTGGTATGCAGCCTTAGGGGTGCCAGACACCCATCTTGCATGACTTGTGAAAAAGACCTGCTGTTGCATTCAGATCTGGGGAGGGAGAGGTCCCCATGACTCCAGCTAACTCCACCTCTTTTGATTCCTTCTCTCAGGGGTCTTCTTCACAGTTTGCATGGCCTTCTTGGTTCTCAGCTTATCTAAGTCCATCTTGTTGGTCAAATTCCTTCACAATGAGCAGTGCAGCGGGCAGAAGCAGCCCCTCTTGTGCCTTCAAGGGGACACAAATGCTGATGGATTTAGAATGGATCCCAGGGCTCAGCTTGTTGGGGTGACAGGTTTGTGAGAATCCTTGAGTTCCCTAACCTGTCTTTCTTTCTCACGCTCAGCACTAGTTCTCATTGGTGGAGCACCAGGTGGTGTGTTGGGTTTTGTGAAAAAATGTGAAACATCTACTTCTTAGCCTCTGTGCTGCATTTTACATTACTTCTCTGGAGACTGAAGGCTACCTCTTGCTGGCTTCCAAGAAAGTCTCATTTTAACATGAGGGTCAGATCCTCAATTCCCTTAGCTCATTCTACTTTTAGACACACACAAACAGTGTGTGTAACTTTGGATTGTAGTTGCTTAATGTGCAAAGGTTTAAGAATCATCTAGGCAGTAAAGCTCCAACTGAGTCAACAGGGGCTGGCCCCTACCTCAGAAAATTCCTGGAGGGATCTAGCCTAGACACCCTACTTACACAACAGAATTCTGCCATGTTCTCCAGAGCTTCCTTCAGCAGTCTTGGTTCCCCTCAGCAGGTAGGGAGAGAGTCCCCAACTCCAAGACAACTCACTTCCCAGTTTTGCCCATAACCTTCCCTGAAGGATGAGGCCATCAGCCTCAGTGGGAAGTCCAGGGGTAAGAGGCCTTGGTAGTCCCTGATTGACCTAGGCTATTTTCCTCTCTCACACAGAGTCCCCTGTCTGTCAAGAGCACCAGGCCCAGTCAGGGACCCTGAATGAAGTCTTGTCCCAGCTTCACTCCATCAGCAGCTACTTCCAAACCCAGGACCAGATGGACCGACAGGAGGTTGGGTGGCTGGCCCTCCTGGAACGCTTTGACCGACTGCTCTTTCAAGGCTACCTTGTGGTGTTGGTACTCTACACCATCACCCTGTGCTCGCTCTGGGCACTGTGGAGCGGCTTGTGAAGAATGAACCTGGCTTTTCTCAATCAATGTGCTCTTACAACACTTTGAGTAAGCTGAACGTTTCCTGTAGGGAGATTAGAGGAGAGGAATGGTGGGTTAAAAGGCTCTCCAACCCCTATAAGTCTTCATTCAGTCCAGTTATGATCACCTAATCAGCTATTACATGGCCCAAGAATAATGTAGTCATGATGAAAATGCATAAATAGTATGGGGCATATGGGGAAAGTAAGCCTGCCCTTATCCCAGTTCATTCCCCAAAGGGACCAATGATAGCAGTCTTTCTTAGCAAATTTCTAGGTATATACATGCATATTATGCATTTTTAGCAGGGGTTTTTTTTTCAGTATAAGATCCCTTTATCTCCTAGCCCTGTCTTGGTCACTTATTCAGTCAGTCATTCAATTAAGTTCTAGGCATTGTGTTAAGCGCACCAGAAAATACAGAACAGGCTAGCCGTGTATCATTCTTTGTTTGACTTGATGCCTAAAGTCAAGCTTGTATCAACCAGGGCACAAAATTTCTGCCATATCTGTGTCCTGAAGCTCTTGTTCCACTATCCCAGTTGAGTCCATCTTCCCCCACATCACCTCAGCAGTCAGTGCATTACTCTTGGAGGGAATCCACATGCCAAGGCTTCCAGGCTCAATCTAGTACAATGTTTAGTCAGCACACACCACACGTAAGGCACTGAACTGGGGGATAGGCTTAATGCATGGCCCTTGGGTTCAAGGAATTTATAATCTATTCTATATTAGTTAGCTTTGGCTGCCATAACAAAATATCACAGTCTGTGTGGCTTAAACAAAGCTTTATTTTCTCACAGCTCTGGAGGCCAGAAGTCCAAAATTGAGGTGATGGCAGGGACAGTTTCTTCTGAAGCCTCTCTCCTTGGCTTATAGTTGACTGACTTCTCCATGTGTTTTCATATAGTCTTTTCTGTGTGTGTGTCTGTCCAAATTCTCTCTTCTTGTAAGGAAACTAGTCATATTGGACTAGGACCCACACTAATGACTTCATTTAACTTTAATTACTTTTTTAAAGACCCTGTGTCCACATACAATCACACTGTAAGATATTGGGGGCTGGGACTTTAACCTACAAATTTTGGAGAGACACAATTCAGCCCACAACAGTAATGTGATTGTGGAGGCTGGCAAATCTAAAATCTGCAGGCTAGGCCAGCAAGCTTGAAACAACAAGCAAGAGTTCCAGTTTGAGTCTAAAGGCACTCTGCTAGCAGGATTTCCTCTTCCGTGTAGGTCAGTCTTTTCCTATTAAGACCTTCAAATGATTGGATGAAGCCCACTCACTTTCTGGAGAATAATCTGTTTTATTCAAAGTCTACCAATTTAGAATATGGAGGCATAGGCAGAAACGCTTCGCTTCCTCTCACAACCAAAAGGAGGATAACAACAAATCTAAAATCAATAAACAACCAGAAGTGCCAGAAAATCAAACTGCATGGAACTCCAACAACCAAGAAATTAAAGAAAAAGTCAACCAGAACAACCAGACGAATAAAACCCCGTGGTGTGGGCAGGATGGGCTGAGAACAATTATAGTGAGGCAGTGGACTATGTGGGTGGGGCTGGCTGTGGCAAGGTGCTGGACTGTGTAGGCAGGGCTGGCTGAAGGCAAAACTGAGACTCAGAGCTGACCGTGGACTATGGTGGTGGTTGCTGCGCTGGGGGAAACTCCCAGTCTCACACCAGAGTTCTTTGAAAAGTGGCTAGACACAGCAATCAGACAAGAAAAAGAAATAAAAGGCATCCAAATCGGAAAGGAGGAAACAAAACTATCACTGTTTGCAGACGACATGATAGTATACATAGAAAATCCTATTGACTCTACCAAAAAACTGCTTGACCTAATAAATGAATTTGGCAAAACAGCGGGATACAAAGTCAATATCCAGAAATCAAAGGCATTTCTGTACACCAACAATGAAACAGCAGAAGCAGAGATCAAGGAAAAAAATCCCATTTGAAATAGCAAAAAGAAAAATAAAATATCTAGGAATAAACCTAACCAAAGAGGTAAAAAGACCTTTTATTCAGAAAACTACACAACACTGAAGAAAGAAATCAAGGAAGACACAAACAAATGGAAACATATACCATGTTCATGGATTGGAAGAATTAATATCATCAAAATGTCCATACTACCCAAAGCAATTTACACATTCAATGCAATTCCTATTAAAGTACCATTGGCATATTTCACAGACATAGAACAAACACTTCAAAAATTTATATGGAATTATAAACGACCCCGAATAGCTGCTGCAATATTGAGAAAGAAGAGTAAAGTAGGAGGGATCACAATACCCGACACTAAACTATATTACAAGGCTACTGTAATCAAAACAGCCTGGTACTGGCATAAAAACAGGCACATAGACCAATGGAACAGAACAGAGAGCCCAGAAATAAGCCCAAGTCTCTATGGTCAATTAATATTTGACAAAGGAGGCAGCAATATAAAATGGAATAAAAATAGCCTCTTCAACAAATGGTGTTGGGAGAACTGGACAGCCACGTGCAAAAAAAATGAAACTTGAGCACCAACTTACACCATATACAAAAAATTAATTCAAGGTGGATAAAAGACTTAAATATAAAACATGACACCATTAAAGTCCTAGAGGAGAACGTAGGTAAGAAAATCTCAGATATTTCACGAAGAGACTTTTTTAATGACGTGTCCCCTAGAGCAAGGGACATAAAGGAAAGAATAAACAAATGGGACCTCATCAAAATTAAAAGCTTCTGCACAGCTAAAGAAAACAGTATGAAAATTAAAAGAGAACCAACTGTATGGGAAAACATATTTGCCAATGACACCTCAGACAAGGGTCTAATCTCCAAAATATATAGAGAACTTACACGACTGTACTCTAAGAAGACAAGGAATCCAATTAAAAAGTGGGCAAAGGACTTGAATAGACACTTCTCCAAGGAGGACATACAGAGGATCCAAAGACACATGAAACAATGTTCAATATCGCTAGCTATCAGAGAGATGCAAATTAAAACCACAATGAGATACCACTTCACACCAGACAGAATGGCCATCATAAACAAAGCAACAAACAGCAAGTGTTGGAGAGGTTGTGGAGAAAAAGGGACCCTAGTGCACTGTTGGTGGGACTGCAGACTGGTACAACCACTATGGAAAGCAATATGGAACTTCCTCAGAAAACTAAAAATGGATCTGCCTTTTGACCCTGCAATTCCACTACTGGGACTCTATCCTAAGAATACTAAAACACCAATTCAAAAGAACCTATGCATCCCAATGTTCATAGCAGCACAATTTACAATAGCTAGATGCTGGAAGCAACCTAGATGCCCATCAGTAAATGAATGGATCAAAAAACTATGGTACATTTACACGATGGAATTCTATGCAGCAGAAAGAAAGAAGGAGCTCCTACCCTATGCAACAGCGTGGATGGAGCTGGAAAACATTATGCTAAGCGAAACAAGCCAGGCAGTGAAAGACAAATACCATATGATCTCACCTTTAACAGGAACCTAAATAACAAAACAAAGAAACAAGCAAAATGTAACCAAAGACACTGAAATAGAGGACAGGCTGATGGTGACCGGAGGGGAGAGAAGAGGGAATTTAAGGGGGACAGTGGGAAGGGTTCACAGGAACAAACTTAAAGGACACATGGTCATAGACTAAGGGGAGGGTGGTAATGGGAGGGAAGGGGGGTGGTGGGAGGGGGAACTGGATTGGGAGTAAAAAGGAGAAAACTGTATATGAACAATGATTAATAAAAAGAAAGAAAAAAAAAAAGAAAAGTGGCTAGAGACAAGAAGGCAAGCTGCATTGTTCCCTCTCTGGCCCCTCCCCCACAGTGCAGGAAGTAGGGTTCCCAGGCCTGGTGAATACCTAAGGCCCTGCCCCCCTACAATTTAGCAGGTGTGCTGAGACAAAGAAATATGGCCCAAATGAAAGAATAGAGCAAAGTTTCAGAAAGAGAACTAAGCGAGGAGGAGATCGCCAACCTATCTGATGGAGAATTTAAAGCCCTGGTAATCAAAATGCTCACAGAACTGATTAAGCTTAGCTGAAAAATGAAAGAACAAGTGAAAGATACCCAAAATGAAATAAAGCAAAATATTCAGGGAACCAACAGTGACAGGAAGGAAACCAGGACTCAAAGCAATAATTTGGAACAAAAGGAAGAAATAAACATCCAACCAGAACAGAATGAAGAAAGAAGAATTCAAAAAAGTGAAGAGAGTATTACAAAGCTCTGGGACAACCTGAAATGTTCCAATACTCAAAGTATAGAGGTGCCAGAAGGAGAAGAACAACAGCAAGAAATTGAAAACTTATTTGAACAAATAATGAAGGAAAACTTCCCCAATCTGGCAAAGGAAATAGACTTCCAGGAAGTCCAGGAAGCCCAGAGAGTCCCAAAGAAGTTGGATCCAAAGAGGAACACACAAAGACACATCATCATTAAGTTACCCAAGATTAAAGATAAAAAGAGAACCCTAAAAGCAGCAAGAGGAAAGGAGACAGCTACCTACAAAGGAGTGTCCATAAGGCTATCAGCGGATTTCTCAAAACAAACCTTGCAGGCAAGATGGGGCTGGAAAAAAGTATTTGAAGTCATGAAAGGCAAGGACCTCCATCCAAGATTACTCTATCCAGCAAAGCTTTCATTTAGAATGGAAGGGAAGCCCTGGCTGGCATAGCTCAGTGGATTGAGTGTGGGCTGCGAACCAGGCATCACAAGTTCGATTCCCAGTCAGGGCACATGCCTAGGTCACAGGCCATGGCCTCTAGCAACCCCACATTGATATTGGTGTCTCTCTCCCTCCCTCTCTATCTCTCTCTCTCTCTCTCTCTCTCTCTCTCACCCCCCCTTCCTTTCCCTCTCTGAAAATAAATAAATAAAATCTTCAAAAAAATAATCTTAGAATGGAAGGGAAGATAAAGTGCTTCCCAGTTAAGGTCAAGTTAAAAGAGTTCATCAT